TTCCTCTCTTTTTAAACAGCATGTTCATCTCCGTTAACTAGTGATTAACGCTTCAAAAAAATTGCTGGAGTCTGCGCCCTTCCTTAAACTCATTCACTCCCTGGTGTATTCTGTTACTTATGAAGCCAGTGTCAGAGGAGCGTACCTCACCACATTCGCGTCCTTCTATAGTTGTTGATTTCTTCATGCTGAAGGGGGAATTTTTTATATCTTTGTGTCCTTTTAAGACAACTTCATTAGACATATTCTGTTCTTTTCTGAATAGAATTAGAAGTAACTCAAAAACCTCTACTTTGTGGGGCAGCCGGTTAGCTCAGGCGGTTAGAGTGCAGGCTCGTAACACAAGGTTGCCGGTTCGATTCCCACATGGGCCAAGGAGCTGCGCCCTCTACAACTAGATTGAAACAACTACTTGACTTGGAGCTGATGGGTCCTGGAAAGACACACTGTTTCCCAATAAAATTTCTTTAAAAAAAAAGAAACGCCTACTTTGAAATAGAAATTACTACCCTAATAAGCAAGATGAAGACGTTAGTTCTTAGCGAACTGAGGCTCTCAGTGGTTTTAATGGGAGTAATGAAAAAAGCACTTACTCTCTCTAAATGGTATTTAATATATGGCGTGCTTGCTATGTGGTTTTTGTTATTTTCTCATATTCATTAGGAAAACTATAATTTAATTGCCAATACAGTAAAGATTTCTAAATATAGCTCTCTAGAATACAAAATTCTTGATACAAACTCATCCCAAATCTACAGTTGTTGAAGTTTAACAGGCTGCTCCTTTGATAAGGTTGGTGGGTAAGGTTGGTGGTCACTCACTTGTAATGATATTCTGTCTCTGTGATGCCATCACGTGTAGTCTTTTCATTTACACTCCAGGAAACAAAAATTTCACAGAATGTGCTTAGTTATTTGTTTTTTATTTCAACTTTCTTAACAAAATAACATGTAATGATGGAATTAGAAACAGTGACTTCCAAAGTATGCGAATTTTACCGCCAGAAAACTGTCTTTGCACAAAGGAGCACTGAACCAGTGATAATGTCTTCTATCCAAACACATTTGTACTGTAAGTAGAAACTGTTTAAAAGGAAAATTACATCTTTTTCAGCAATTTATCAGAGATAATTACCCTTCATACACCAAAGGAAGGATAAAGTGTTTTAAAGAACTATAATTCTAATTGGTAAATGTCACCAGCTGTTGCAGTGACTCTTCCTTGTGTATATTCTTTTAATGATTATAGTCTCATGCCACAAGCTACATGAAAATATATTCACTAGGTGTGAAATTCCCATATGTCAAAGTTTCAAGAATAGATAAACAGCTCAAAGATAAAGGAAAAAATAATGCTAATGAGGAATGTAAGAATTCTAGGTTTTGTTTTCTAGGTAAGTGGATCTTAATTTACCAAAAGGTAATAAAATGTAATTTCAAAAAGGAAAAAAAAAACAAACAAAAAAGATAGAAACAATTTGCTGAAATAAACTTTTAAATGAGGTGTACCTCATACCCTCAACCAGAGATTTTTATTTCCTTAGAAAGTTGTAGAACAGACTTCAGTATTGTACCCCTTGGGTTTGCCAAAGGGCAGAGTATTTGGTTTTCTTTTAGGCTTAAACTGTAGAGTGTTGTTACTTTTAGATGGTGGACAATGTTTCATGATTTCTCATGTTATCTTGAAAATGATCAAGGAGACAAACAAAAAATACCTTAGAGTCTATGGAAAGTGTTTAAAGCCATTATTCTCCAGCCTTCCTGGCCATAACTTTAGATCCAGTGAGTCTGATGGGTCAAGTGATTGACCAGATCAGGGGTCGGCAAACTGCAGCTTGCGAGCCACATGCGGCTCTTTCGGTATGTACATGTGGCTCTGAAGTAAAATTTAAAATGAAAATAAAACTATAATAGTTTCATTTATAAAATTTTCAAATATGTTATTCACATAATGTGGTGATTTCATTTGT